AGAGAGAGAGAGAGAGAGAGAGAGAGAGAGAGATGGGGGAGGTGTCAGGGGCAACAGGAGGGAGACACAGCCTCTGTCCTCAGGGAACTTACACTAGGACAGCCAGATGGAATTGGAAACAAGTCAGTTCCGCACTTGGAGATAAGAAGGTTTGAATAAGGTAGAGGCGAAATCCAGAGGGAGGAGAGGTTACTACTGTGTGGAGCCCACAAACATCTTTAGAATGGAGGGGACCCAGGAATCAGAGGTTGAAGGGCAGGTAAGACGTTTGCTGGGGCTTGGGTGGTGGAGAGGCGCTCCAGGTGGGGGCTTAGCTTGTGCAGAGGCATGGAGGTGTGAAACAGCCGGCTGCAAGTCCTTCAGCAGCCTGGACAAATCTAATCAAAGCCACTCACGCTTGGGTACAAAGCATTGAGGAGAGTGAGGCTCACTGTGTGACCTCCCCCAGGGATCTTACACCTCAGTAGTAGGGACAAGGAGCTGTGAGTTAAATTAACACCCGCCTCTGGTGGTGGAATGTCAGACGTGAGCAGTGTGTGTAGGAGGTACAGGGTCAGGGGTGGCAGGGCACATTTGGGAGAGGGCAGCGATCCTGCAGAAATCAATCCCACAGCCACAGCCTCATTAGCCTTAACACCAGCCCCGGGAGCTAAACCCTTATCCCCAGAGGCCCTTGCTAATTACCGGCAGGATGTCCAGGTCTGAGCTGAAACCCTTGAATGAAGCACCCTGGAAACGTCCTTATGCCCTTGCCCTTGCCCTTTGGGTCACCTTTAACACTCAACCGGATCACACGTCTGCTCAGCCACCCTGGTTAGGACCCAGCTGCCAGGCAGAGGGCGAGCTTCACTCTGATCCAAGGTATTCTTCCCAGTGATGGATGGGAAAAGGCTCTGAAAATGCTGATGTTCTATCAAGTCAGGGATAGGAGGGCAGGAGGAATGAAAGTGATGACAGGGCAGGGGACAAGTTGCTGGGGATGGCCCCTAAATACATGGTAACCATGACGACCACCATTTACTAAGGGCTTCCTATATGCCAGACACTTACATCGTTTATACCTCCCATTATGTCCAATTTACAGATGAAGAAACTGAGGCACAGAGAGGTGAAATAAATTGCTTGAGATCAGCAGCTAGGAAATGGCAGAGCTGGATTTGAACCAGGGTAGCCTGGCTCCTGGGTGCACAGTTGGTTGTACCTGGGCAGCAGGATGAAGACAGGGTTTGGTGCGAGGAGGAAAATGAACTTGTTATCTCTGAGGCTGGGAGTGATTCTTGGAGGACCTCACACTTGGAGTCAAACCCAGGGTCTGAATTCTGACGAGGCCACTTCCTTCTGTAAGTCACCCAAACTTCTCCGTGCCTGTTTTCTCATCTGGAAAATGGGATGACAGCACCCACCTCACAGAGCTGTTGTGAGGATTTTATGAGAAATATATGCAAAGTGACTGGCACGTAAGTGCTAAATAAATGATTCCTGTTATTATTGCTAGTGTTGAATGTGACTGCAGAGGAGAGGCTGCGACTGTACCATAGGAAGGCCTCAGCTGGCAAGGGTTTGGTGACCTTCAGGGGACTGGAGGGGACTGTGGCATCTCCCTCCTGGGAGATGTTTGGGAAGCAACTCTGGCATTGGTGGCCAACCAAGCCATGCCAGCTAGTGCCCAGGGCTCCGGGTTCTGTTGTACTGGGCAGGCTGCCTGCGACCCTGTGGAAGGGAACTGGTGGAACTGGGGAGCAGGGAGCCCCTTATAGGATGGGGACAAGGGGCAGCTTCCCTGAGTGGAAATTCAGAGCCAGCAGGGGCTTCCCCACGCCTCAGCCCCGCTCCTGTGCAGTGGCAGCCAGCTAACCTGGCTCCGTGGGTCTGGTTATATGACCTTGGGCAAGTCACTTTTCTCTGGGGCCCGCTGCTTTCTCATCTGTATAATGGGCCTTGCACCCCCTTAGGGCTCCTCGCATAGGTTCTGATTCTGGTCCAGGGCTCAGCCTCCCACTTAGCTTGAGGGTACTCAGACCCACAGAGGTACAGGGCAAAGGTTGTGAGAAAGATAAGGAGGTGGGAGGAAAATAATTAGGGGAGCGGGAGGAGAAGGATCCCTGAGTACCCTTTGGGCCCCACTTTCATCTCTCTGGAGCCTTGGGAATCTGGCTTGGCTGGTATGCAGACCAATAAATGGGCGGTGATATGGGGCAAGCACCCCTGGTGCCAGAGGTGATCATGGGACAGGCCTGCTGAGGTTAGAATGTACAGTGGGGGCAGAAGGCCAGGCTAACAGAGAGCACGGACCCTGGAGGGCCAGTCCACACCTCTAGGGACAAACAAAGATGAAGGCACTGATGGGGAGACTGGGGAGTACTCTGGCCAAAGGGGAGGGTCACCCCATGCTGTTCTGGGACAGTCAGGGGCCAGGTCGGGGAATGGGAAGGGGGCAGGCAATTACCACCATGCTATTTTAAAGGGGCCCTCATGGTGTCACACTCAGGAAGAAACACAGGTGTGGCCCTGGGGTGGCAGCGTCTTCTACCTCAGTTCCCCTCTCCAGCTGTCCCCAGATAGAGCTGCGGGTCCTATACATCAGAGGAGAGGGTGGAAAAGGCCTGCACTTTTCCCAGGGGGGCTTTTCTCCTGAGCCTCCATCCCAGGATGGTGCTTTGCGGAGCAGCCATGGGCACTGAATCCTGGCTCCGTCGCCCTCCCCAGTGATTGCAGGACTGCTGGGGCAGCTGGCAGTGGTTAAGAGCCCGCGGAGAGGCAGCCTGAACTGGGAGGGAGGCTCAACTTGGACACTTTGCAGTCTTACAGATCGGCAGGTCCCTTCGCTCCCTTGGCCTCAGGTTCCTCATCTGGGAAATAGGATGGTGACAATGATAAAGAAGGTCCTGCCTCACAGACCTGCTGTGAGGATTCAGCGAGCACTCAGAACCAGCCCAAGCACACAATAAACGTTAGGGCTTTGATGATCATTATTGCACAAACCTTTTTATAACTATAAATAGGGCAGGGCTGGAGAGGGTGACCTGCAGAGCTGTGTGACCTCAAGTGCTGTGTGCCATGTGCTCATCAGAGGGCTCTGGGCCGACCCTCTCCATCCCACCTAGGCAAGGGCTCAGTGCTGAGGCCCAGGGGGCAGATGGGCCAGGCTTGCAGCCACCCTCACATCACAAGACCCAGGCAGGCATTGCCCAGAATGGTGGCACAGTGGTTTTCCCCATGGGCACAAGAGTCAGATGGCCTGGGGTCCAACGAGCAGCTTCTTAGCAACTCTGTGGTCCGTGCTGGTTATTCAAACTGCAAGGCTAAGCCATCAGAACACGGGGCTGACAGGACTGTTATCAAGAGTCAGCCAAGGAAAGCACACAGCCCACTGCCCGGCACGAAGGAATTCAGGAATAGCCATTCTCAGTGGTAAGTCAGGCCGGCAGGCTGCCCTTCTCTTTAACAGGACTTGCTGCTCAAGAGCGATAATGTCTCATAAACGTTACCATTCAAACTCCTAGACCTAGTTCCCCAATCCCTGCCCCCAGAATAAATGAACAAATGGGAAAATGAGGGCCCGTCTCATCCCTCCGAGGAGCCCAGAGCCGGCCCCAGGTGGATGGGCAGCGTGCCCCTCCGTGGTGTCCATCACAAGCACATAGTAAGAGCTGTTAAATGGCAGGCATTTGGTTCGTCCTTGTGTCTAGTCCAGAAGGCTTTTGTGTGTTTATTCCTGATCTTCCCCACCCCGCCCTGGGTCTTCTAGACCCTCTTCCCAAGGTATCTGCTATCCCTTTGTGCGAGGGACTCGACCGAGGCCTTGGTCAGCGCTAGGTATAAAGGGAGAGGAGATGGCCCCGCTGTGTTCCTGCTTCCCACTCACACTGTGTCTGATCACAGGGCTAATTGCAATTGGCCTTGAAGCCGACCGAGACCCGCAGATCATTTTCTCAGCTTCTCCCACAAGATGTCATTCCTGCTGTTACTGTCCTAGGTAGGGGTAGAGAGTAGAAGAGTAGCACCTTGGTGCTCTAGTATTTTGAACTCTTCTCCTCCTCTCCCAGCTCTCCGCAAGACCTTTCCTTGTGTTGACTCTTTAGAAAACCTGAGACGTTGACAGGATATTGATTGAAAAATGAGGAGCAGAAGGGTGCAGGTCACATAGTGTTGTGTGGGTGGGTGAGTATGACCTGAGGTCCTCTCCCTCCTGAGCTAAACAAAGGCAAGCTCCAATCTCTGGTGAGAGGAGAGATGGCACTCTAGAAACTTCTAGGGCGCTGCAGAGATGGTCATGGAGGCCATGATGGACAAAGGACAGAGGACCAGGTGCAAGCTACCAGTTCCCTGGGGAGACACTGGGAGGCTCTGGGCTGGGCAGGCAGTGTCCTGGAAAAGAGACTGAGGGGCACTGCCATGGGTGACGCATGCCTGCGTGGCGCGTGTGTATGCACGCACACGCGCATGCACACGCACACACACACACATGAATGTGCAAGCTCCCTGCTGGGACTGAGGCTTCCCTGTTTCTCTGCTTTTTCTGAGATGGGGCTGGGGTCAAGTCATCGCCTTCCACCCTCCTCTTTTTAGGTTTGTCATTGGAAGTCTCATGTGGACCCAGAAACCTAGACTCCCCAGGAGGTTGCCCAGACCAATCCCTGCAACGCCCATCAGGGAAATTGGCCCAGAGATTGGGAGGGGCTTGACCAGGGTCTCCAATACCATATTTCCAGTTCTGGGTTCTTTTCATGTATTGCAGTGTCCCCCAAGGGTCCCCACAAGAAGTTTCTGCTGATCCCCATGCCCCTGCAAGCAGATATGCCCACGTCAGAGGGCTGACTTTGCCTGGGTCAGAGCTCTGGTCTTTGAGGGCGGCATTCAGGTGCCACGTTTCTCAGGGTTCAGGCTCACAGGCTCTCTGCTGCTCCGCCTACCCCAGAGGGCTCACGAGGAAGAAACGATGCCCATGGTGGGCCATGTGCTTTGTGCTTGCAGTGCCACTGCCCTCTGTGTGCCCGCAGGTCCCTGGCCCTGGGCCAGCAGTACACGTCCCTGGGATCTCAGCCTCTGCTCTGCGGCTCCATCCCAGGCCTGGTCCCCAAGCAACTGCGCTTCTGCCGCAATTACATCGAAATCATGCCCAGCGTGGCCGAGGGTGTGAAGCTGGGCATCCAGGAGTGCCAGCACCAGTTCCGGGGCCGCCGCTGGAACTGCACCACCATAGATGACAGCCTGGCCATCTTTGGGCCCGTCCTTGACAAAGGTACTGTCCCTGGGCTGGGTAGGAGGTGGGTGAGGGGTGAGTTGGGGGAAGGCATCAGGACACAGTGACTCTTCCACCTCAGGGTGCCCCAGCTCTGAGCCCAGGGACTCCAGGGAAGGGTGACAAAACTGGTCATGACCCAGGGCAGCCACGAAAATGGGTCAGGTTCTTCTCTGGACAGACCCACGCTGTCACCATGGCTGCCACACCTTCCCAAGTGCTGCTGGGTGCTGAGCAGCCTTGAGATGGTCTAGGATCCTGAGATCCAGGGCAGGCTAGGAGGCTGCAGCCTTCCTCCCCCCTCTGCTTACAGCGGGTGGCCCCAGGCTTTGATATGGAGAGTTGTGACATTTCACCAATTTAAGTGCTATGCAAATCTAGTTTTGGGGTGGGGTGGGGGCATTGACACTCCTAGAACCCCCTCCCATCCCCCCATAAAGAAAATTCTGGGGCTGAGGAAGCTGCTTGGTGCTGGTGGCACTGCACTGCTCCCAAGTGTTTCTGTGAGAACTATCTGCTGGTCCCCACGCTCCGGCAAGCTGGATATACCCACGGATCATGGTGGGGCCAGAGAGCATGCGGGCCTCTGGGTCACTTCTCAGCCATCTTATAACCTGGGAGTCTAACAGGCAGCACTTCAAATGAATGGGGGTCACACAACTTGACTTTGAACATGAAGGCCCTGGGTGAGAGGAACAACTGCTCCCAAGAAGGGGACCTTGGGGCTGGTGAGGTCTGGGCTGAAGATGGGCAACCCTGAAAAACTACAGTGTCCGGGAATTGAATGATCCCAGCTGGCCTCTGGGAGTCACCACTCCTTTTTCACAGCAACTTGAACCCTCTCGCCACCAGCAGGGCTGTGCCACCCAAACCCTTGAGGCCCGACCTCCTTCCTTTTAGAAGAGCTGCATTTATAGCCAGAATAAAAAGGGATCTGAGAGCCAGGGGACCTTGGGGGAGGGTAGTGGTGGGGAAATGGGGGGGCGGGAAGCTGACCGGACCTCCCCATTTTAGAGTGCAGTCCCCCTTAACCTGTGCCTCAGGTGAGCAGGGTTTGTCTGACCTACAGGCTATTGTTATGGGACCGAAAGGCAATTAGCGAATCAATGCATGATGATTCTGTTTACGCTTCTGTTACCAAAGCTAATTATTCCTTGTTTACATAAAAGGTTTGGCCTCTAATTGGGGCCAAGTGGCGGCGGTTTGCATTTCAAACCTGATCTTGCTGTTGTGTCAGTCTCACTGCCTTCCGGTGCCCCACCTGGGGCCTACAGGTAGCGCTTAATCAAACAGCCTGGCGTCTAGACGCGCTCCCTAAAAGCAAGACTCACCTGATTGCTCTTCCCGGTTCGGGACAGCAGCTAGTGAAAATCGGGACTCTGAGCTTATTACCCATTCACGTCTGTGTTGCAGTTTAAATCACCGTTGCAGATTCTAGAACGTGCCTTCCTCTCTACACTGCAAGAGGGCAGTTTTGCGTTGGGGAGGGGTTACTATGTCAGAGACTCTGGGAATCTGAGGAAAGCTAAGCAGTCTCCGGGAAGAAGGCCCCCCGCACGCACACGCGCCCCAGTGGCCAGAGCCGGGCCGT